GAAATATTTTGGTCTATCAAGCGCCACGACAGACTGGAACAAATAAATAGCAGAAGGCATGGTACCAGGTAGGAGGGGCAGGGGCTGACCATCACACAGATGGGCACAGGATATAAGTGATTCCTTGAGTATAAGTACATGAGGCGGGAGAGCTGGCAAGAGACCGAGTTTCTTTCAGGCAGACCGTGATGAGAGCGACGTTGTGCAAAGGACCTGCTGCATGATGATGATGATGAGCCCTTCTAAGACAACTGACTAATGATCTACCTGACTTTGTCAGTTATGAGCAAAATAATGATATCACATGCTATATAAATTAAAGGACTCAGCAGCTGGACATTGTAATGTACATGCTTCTATGCTGTGTATTGTAATATTTGTTAACCAAGCTGGGTTGAGTTAAGTTGAGTCAAGAATTGACATCACAGCACTCGGGGCACTCCCACATGTGATCCATCCCCATCTTCAGCAACCAGTGCAGAGTTCCAATACCGGTACCGGTCGCAATCTGGTTATATGTCCATCTTGCCTTTCCTTTGAGCGTAGTGAGCCGACCAGACCCACTGGTTACACCCAGGTGCATAATTATCATTATAATAATTTTTACCGAATGTTAATAATAAGAACAACTCCACACTGGGGCATGCACTGCAGGGGTCTACCGGTCATCAGTAGAGATTCTTTGTCTACAATTTTTTGTGCCCATTGCTTCCCTAAACAATCTTTGGAGGTGGGCCAACCTTCACGGCCAGAGTAACAAGCTTATGGTTGGTTCACTGGACAAGTGTTAGACTTTAGCCTTTGAGAGAGACATCGGCAGACATTTATCTGACACTTTTACTTTTAAGGGATAAGAAGCTCTTTTCTGCTATGGACTTGGACCAGTCTACCAAAGCCCATCCCCCACAACGTTCTGTTGCATCCAGAGCCAGCTCGAAGCTGTTTCAGCAGCTTGGCCCAGTTGTTTTAGTGACCGTTTACACTCATTTCCTTGCAAGCCCAGCTGCTTTAGCACATTATGTGTGAAAGTAGAGATAAAACCTCTTGCGCCTACCTCGACAGTGAAGATTTTTATACTGCGTATGCTTCATCTCTCCTCCCACACGAGCTCACAGTAGTTCTCAAGCATGTACATGTGATTTTCTTCCATCTGCGACTGGTATGGCATAGTCAGCTCAATCATGATGAGCTGCTGTTTCTCTGCAGAGTGCAGGACCATGTCAGGTCTCAGGCCGGTCTTCCGGATTGACTCTGGGTTCCTTTCTAAAACAGGCAGGTTGACAGCCAGTAACCAGTCCCTCGCACAGTCAAGTACTGATGGAGTGTATGTGACCTTGTTGATTTTACCTTTATAAATCTGCCCAGCCTTGAGGAAGCGCATGGGGATGACGGTAGGACTGGCCCTCGCGTTGGCCCTCATTGTGGCTTGGTCCAAAATGTCCGTTAACTCTTTTAGGACTTTGTTGTGGCACCAAATATATTGTCCCCAGCCTAGGGCTTTTCTGCACACAGACAATATGTGCTCAAGCGTCTGCTTAGCTCTGCACAGTGGGCATGTCGGGTCAGTAGTTGCATGCCATTTCACCATGTTGACGCCAGATGGTAACACATCGTACACAGAACTAACAACAAAGCTCAGCCGCAGCGGGGCCATTCGCCAGTCTTCACTTCATGTGAGTATTCATGGCAAGGTGCTCTCAAGGCCAATCCACTGGCCTTGCTGCGACTGCGGTGCAGCTTTCTGGACCTGAGTCTCGTTTTCGGCATCCCTTATCTGCTGTATTACCATGTTTCTGCGCTCTTTGGCCATGGCTTTGGACCACCAACTGACTTTCTCATGCCTTAGGCTGTGTCGGTCAGTTTGTGTGTAACACGAGCATTAAAGTCACCAAGCATGTACAAGCCACTGGATTTCAGAACTGTGTTCACTGCACTGTCTAGGTTCTCAAAGAAGGAATCCTTCGTGTCCTCAGCTGACGTGAGTGTTGGTGCATATGCAGTAAGAAGGGTGACTAAACCACAAGAGTTAGACAGTCGCAGAGATAATCTTCTGTCATTTCCTCCAACTGGACCTTCAATTGATCCCAATAATAAGTTCTTCACTGCAAATCCCACTGCACTCGATGTTGTCGGATTTCATCTTGACCTCTACCCTTCCAAAAGAAGGTATAGTTCTTTTCCTTAAAGGACCCATCTTCAAGAAGACGTATCTCCTGCAGGTCAGTGATATCTATGCCAAGTTGGCTGAGTTCAGCATCAATGACAACCATTTTTCTCACATCACTAAGGTTTTAAAGGTTACTGGAATGTCCTGGACATATAGTCCTAATGTTCCATGTTGCAAGCCGAAACTTGATAGTAGATTTCTTTTTATAACCTGGTGCACTGGTTTTTTTCTGCCTGTGTTTTGGATTTTGCCCTAGCTTTAAGCGCCCACTGAAGCAAACAAGTTGTGGCAGATCAACACCTTATTGCCTGGGGGCTGATCAGCTTGAGGCGGGTGGTAAGCTGATCAGTGACACTGAAAATGTCATCTACCATCAAAGACTACCCGTGGCGCCCTCGTCTATGCCAATTGACAAGGATTTATAACCAGTAAACTGCAGTCTCTTGATTTGATTCCGAGACCGGTTAAGGCCACGGATGGAGTTTCTCCTCTCCATAGCACAAAGCCTGGGCAAAATTATAGAGACCATAAATTGCCCATGCTGCATGACCCTCTCTCGGCCCGCCTTGTTTACTCCAAAGGAAAGGTAATATCAATACATTTGGAACAAAGTAGGCTGCAGAAGCTGCCGGATCAGCAGAGCAGTGCTCTATCTGTCCGCCTGTCAGCGCTTCCCTCCTAGAGCAAATGCCAACCAAGGCCTGGTCTGGCCTGCCATAACATTTAGTTTTTTAGGTTGCATTTCCTCGTTCTAGGGTGAGGCTGGTATCCTCCCATATGCACTCCACCACCCTAAGCTGCTGGCAGAGTATAGAAAGTCAGGTTTGGTAGATGCCACCCAACAGTCAGTGTTTCTATGAGGGCAGTGCCCATACTGGGTGGGTTGCCCTAGCAACTGTGCCTATAAGAGCATCTTCTGCCTAGCACAGCTATAATGGTGACCAGTTCTTAAAACTATTCAGCTGCTCCCCACTTGTTTCCATCACCTGCCTTCCGTGACTTCAAGTTACCCTGATAGGGGGGCTAAACATATACTCCACCTTGCCCAATACAGGATAAGAATATATTTACGTTTTTTTTTAAGGTATTGGGGAGAAAGCTCTTGTAAAGTCTTTTTAAAAGCTACAGTGATTACACTTTCTCATAGCTTACGTGACAGAGGTCTCAGGGTCATAGTAAGAGTCACCAGATACATATTTTGTAAGGTCCCAGGGAATGTATTATTCCACTGCATGCTTCATTCTCTTCCTGTTTCTTGATTATATATCTTTATATATTTCGAAAAGCTTTTTTTAAATGCAGACAATTCAAACAAACCAGTAATGTGTCTGTGTAAAATTGTTTTTAAGGAATGTTTTGGGAGGAATTCCAACAGGGTCATTCCTGGGGTGAAAGGATTAATGATTAAATTTGCAGTAGATTCTAAAGAAACATAATTAATTGTAACATTTTCTAAAGACAGATTTAGTAACCAATAGGTATATGTATGTGTAGACATGTAGGGTACCATCAGAAACTGAACCCTTTGCTGAATGCTGATGATGAAGATGGAAAGCTTATGGGAATGTCCTAAGTACTGTGATGTCCGTTCATAACTCTTTACGGACACAACACCACTTTAGTAGCTTTGAATCCATCAAGTTCAGGTGGAACACCACTATAATGGCTCTTCATAGAGACACTTTAATATTGTTTTGTTTGCTGGGAAAACATATTTGTATGAACATGTTTTGAACAACTAGAATTAGCAAAATGAAGTCCTTTCATTTTTGAAGTTTTGTATCATGTTTGAATTACTTTCTGATTTGTTTTTAATTAATTAGGTGTGATTACAATTATTATGTGATTTTTCCAGACCGAACGATAAGGGAAAAGGTCTAGAACTGTTCATACAACTCTGTCATTGATGAATCTCAGCCAGATAGCGACAATAGTTCCCAATATTATGACTGATAATACATGCATTGATAATATAGGTTAGGATGAAGTAGAAGAAAATATATTAGTCGGATGATCTCTGTTTCAATCAGCTGTATCAGGAATTCGGTTGATGTGAAATTTGACATGTCATACAAAAATCATCATAAAATCCAAATTATTTAAACTATTCCAAATAAAGACTAGCTGATGCATAAATGAACAGAGGAGGCATGTGAAAGCTTAGAAATGGATAGCAGTGTTCTGAACAAGTAAAACGTAAGGTAAGCACCACATTTTATGTGTAAATAATCTTCTTTTGTATCTGACACCCTTAATGTTGTGGGATTTTAATAAAGTTATTGTTGTAGCACTGATAAATAGTTTAGATTTATTCTGCATTAATTTCTCTTTATTATGATATATTATATGTCCCTTTACAGCTAATACTTTTTCTTCAGGAAGGTTTTAGCTTTGTCATGTTGCAGTAAAAAAAATTCTAGCTCAAAATTAATGCTGTCCAAACCCCAGAAGAAAATGTCATCCTGAAAGAGTTAATCACTTGAACTGATGCCACGGCATATTGTGTGCACATGCTTATGTATGTATGTTAGTGTGCAAGCACATAGGTGTGGATGATGGAAAGAGAGGTTTTATTTTAATTAGTCTGGAAAAAAACTTCCAAAAAAAAACCACACTGATAGCCACAAAATATTGTTCTGAAACAAAGTGCACAATAACTGAGACTTAAATAATTGGGACTAAACACTTTAACTAGAAACTAAATTCAGATGACTTACATCTTAGGGCATGCACAATAACCAAAATAAAATCTGTCAATAGTTATATTAATAAGTAAAACAGTTATAATAATAAGTTAAACAGGCAGAGAAATCAATGCATTAGTTGTTTATACATGAAACTCACTTCCTTTGTCCTTCTTGTCTTTCTTATCATCTTTTCCAGCCTTGTCTAGGAAAGAAAGAAAGAATAAAATTTTTCTGAATTCAACACATAACTCTGCTTTTCTCCTGAAAAAGTTTTACAATGATGTTTTCTCTGTGATACTGATGATTTACTAAGCTGAACAGATTATGCAAAAATTACAATCTGTTTATTAAGGAATAAAGGCAGATCAAAAATGTCAATGGAAAAGGAAATTAAAGAATAAAGAGAAATCGATGAAGTGAGCTACATTAACAGAAAAAAAAAAACAACTTGTTGAGTGGTGGCTGAGGACTTTACTCCATTGAGGGATGAAGGGTGAAAGAAAAAGATTAGGTGCACTCTGGTAATTATTGCTGGTACAGATGACAAAAGTATGCACATAATAAAATATCGGTTCATGGAAAAACACATGCAGAAATTCCCAAATACAAGCATTATTGTGTGCTTGAATGGATAAAGTTATGCAGGCTTCTTCTGTATGGCGGTTGGCAAACGTTGCAGTTTACAACTAGGCTGCATCTTTCAGCACAAAACATCTTATTTTAGCAAACCCTTTAACTATGAGCTTGTTAAGGGGAAATAGTCTATACTCCCCCACCACCCAGAATAGGGCCAGGTTTCATATGAGCAGGCACACACACTGAACATGATGGCTTCCCAAAAATCAGCTAGTGAATGGCAGACATCCCCCCCCCCCCCCTGCAAAAAAAAGTGTACATAAAGGTGTTTACATTCATTTTTCACTAACAAGATTATTTAGGCTCAGCTATATTTTCTGAAGATTTTTTCTACAGGTCATTGCGCAGAAACACATTACTTCCATTATTATCTGTTTATTAAATTTTTCTATCAGCCCCATGAAAATATAGGGTATATACTTCTGCTCATCATTAATCATCAGGTCCTTCAAAGAAGGTTGCTATCCCCACGGCACACCTGAAAGCCTCTTCTCTAGCCAATTCCATAGCCTTGTGGGCTGTCATAGCCAATGCATCTTCAGTGTCCTGTATACAACTTTGTGGGGTTCTGCCCACGACCGGCTCCAGCTGACAGGCCGTGCTGCTGAAGTCACTGGGCCAGGCTAACGATGAGTTAACGCCCGCGGTTCTCAAACAAGAATAAACTATCTTTGATAGTGGCGAGGGAAGACAAATTTTAACTTTTAAGTATCCACATGCCTTCTTTAATAATTTCACAATTTTTAGCCGACTTTTCTTGATTTTTGCCGCAGCACTCCTGGCATATGCTCATGGCACCCCAGGGTGCACCTAGTTTATGAAACGCTGCGTTAAAACATCATCAGCTCGACCCGGTGACTCCAGCAGCACAGCCTGTCAGCTGCAGCTGGTCATGGTCTGCCTCTATCATATTTTCAGGAAACAGTATCCTCCATCACCACTAGTATCCTCCAACACCACTAGTATCCTCCATCACCACTAGTATCCTCCATCACCACTAGTATCCTCCATCACCACTAGTATCTTCCATCACCACTAGTATCTTCCATCACCACTAGTATCCTCCATCACCACTAGTATCTTCCATCACCACTAGTATCTTCCATCACCACTAGTATCCTCCATCACCACTAGTATCTTCCATCACCACTAGTATCCTCCATCACCACTAGTATCCTCCATCACCACTAGTATCCTCCATCACCACTAGTATCTTCCATCACCACTAGTATCTTCCATCACCACTAGTATCCTCCATCACCACTAGTATCTTCCATCACCACTAGTATCTTCCATCACCACTAGTATCCTCCATCACCACTAGTATCTTCCATCACCACTAGTATCCTCCATCACCACTAGTACACGGTTCAATGGTTATGATTCTTTGCTGCTTGAGAATCCAGCACCATATTTATAAACAAATATGCTCTCTCAACTTTATCACAGATAACCAAGGATAAACAAATATGCTCTCTCACCTTTATCACAGATAACCAAGGATAAACAAATATGCTCTCTCATCTTTATCACAGATAACCAAGGATAAACAAATATGCTCTCTCACCTTTATCACAGATAACCAAGGATAAACAAATATGCTCTCTCATCTTTATCACAGATAACCAAGGATAAACAAATATGCTCTCTCACCTTTATCACAGATAACCAAGGATAAACAAATATGCTCTCTCATCTTTACCCCACAGATAACCAAGGAAAAAGAACTATGCTCTCTCAACTTTATCACAGATAACCAAGGATAAAGAAATATGCTCTCTCACTTTTATCACAGACAACCAAGGATAAACAAATATGCTCTCTCATCTTTATCATAGATAACCAAAGATAAAGAAATAAGCTCTCTCTCACCTTTATCACAGATAGCCAAGGATAAAAAAAATATGCTTTCTCATTTTTATCATAGATAACCAAGGGTCAAGAAATATGCTCTCTCACCTTTATCTCTGCCTTCCCTTTTCTCTTTTCCCTTCTCCTTGCCATCTTTATGACTGGCTTCCTTGTCTGTTTTTTCATCTCTAATCGTAACTTCCTGAGATCAAACACAAATGTGAATAACAGCTGTATCAGCTATCACTGGATTTTTCTTTTCTCACAACAATAATTCCCCTAGGGGTCCCCGGGGCCTCATTTGGTGGGAAAATGAACACATCCAGTGCCTTTCTGCAGATACATTGTTCACTGTTCATTTTAAAGATCATTTTTTAGCGCACATTGGGCATGACCATAAGCGCTCCGATCTTCTCATGAGTATACATTTCAGTGTTTTTAGGCTAACAACTTCAATTCTGTTCTGGCTGATGTAATGATGGGTGGCTCCTGCATGGTTTTCCTGTCTCACAGCTACAATTGGTACACCCAGAGCATGCAGTCTGTGCAGTGAAAAATCATTTTCCTCAAAACTGAAAGCCTCACATCATTTAGCCTCTTGTATGGCATTGGATGCTCTCCCGTCCATAGATGGCCCACTCCTAATAGTCACACCGACAGCTCTCCTAAGACATTTCCTCTCTGTTTTTACCACCTTCCGCTCATTAGTTGTGGTAAGGGTCCATGTCTGGCTGTCTCACTTATCTGCTCTCTAGTATTGTGCTGTACCCCGACCTCCCTCCCCTTCCCCATTCCTCCATCCATCCATCCCCTCCATTTTTATTAATAACTGACCAAGGTTCTTCTTCTTCTTCTTTTTCTCTTCTAGTTTCTTAGGGTAAAGTTGCAGTGCTATAACAATGTGTGTCTTTTCCTTACGTACCGTGTGTTGAAGTTAGTTGCGTATCCTTTACAGGACATTGCAGAACCACACAAGTACTTTTTTTGGCTGTTGTAGTTTTTCTAGAAAAATTTTACCTTTAGTAGTTTGCCACTGCATGCTGAAGGGTCAACTCTCAGTGTCACTGTCAAAACCATCGCAAGACAAACCGTCTGAAGATGGGATCGAACCTGGCACCCTGGCATTACGAAACTCGTTCGCAATGCTTAAATGACAAACGTACCGTCTGAAGAGTCATTCATCTAAGATTTTACTCAAAAATCATAGGTTACAGACCATTTTCCCCCAGTGCTTGCAGGTCGAATGGGTTGAGCAAATCATTAAACAAAGGAGTTAAAATATAGTTGTGAAAAGTTGGTAAAGTTAAGACATCGTTTTAAAAGGTAGGTAAATTTAAAATATAGTTTCTAAAAGTGGGCAAAGTTAAAATATAGTTTTAAAAAGTGGGTAAAGTTAAACCACAGTTTTAAACAGTAGGTAAAGATAAAATATTGTTTTTAAAAAGTAGGTAAAATTAAAATATAGTTTTTAAAAGTAGGTAAAGAAACATTTTCATTGCCTAGGTGCATCAGGCATTTAGTTCTAGACCTATATTTTTACAGACCAAACATCATGTGATGTATTAGGTGCTCAACATCAAGCCAGTTATCTTTACTTCCCAGGTCATTACCTGGCTCCTATTTAATTATATAGCTCTAATAGTAAATCAGAAGATGTATATCTACAGAAGACAGTCATCAACCATTTCTGTTATTCATGCCAAATGATGTGAGCGATCATGCCTATCCCCAATCTGTGATCTTTAACAACATGTATCAGTGCTGACACACCTCAATGTAATGACAAGAGACTGTCAAGAATCTTCTCATGTTGTCTTCCTTGTATCTTTTTCCAAAGATTTTTTCAGTGGTCACAACATGTTCCAGTTTCTTTTTTATCATAATTCCCCCCCCCCCCCCCGCCCTTTACACCCCCAATAATGATGACCGTTTCTGTCTGATGTTTGTCATAAGCGGACTTTGAGCCCTCACTTCTTTCAAGACATCTGGGTTGCTCTTTTTTTGGCTGTCCAAAGAATTCTTCTGTAAAACCCCATTTTAAAGTCTTCAAGAAACTGTTTGGTTATTAAACGTTAGCTGCATATCCTTTACAGGACGTTTCAGAACCAGCCCCAGCATTGTTTGGCTGTTGTGGTTTTTCTAGGAAAATTGTGTGTTCAGTAGTTTGCTATTGCTTCTGAATGGTCAGCTCTCGGTACCACTGTCAAAACCAATGCAAGACAAATCGTCCATAGCTGATTTTGAGCTCAACATCCCAGCATTACAAAGCATGCTTGCAACACCTAAGCCACAGACATTTGGTTATTACAAATACTAAAAAGCTTGGCACAGATTTGTTGTACATGAAACAGAATATCAAAGTTTGCTTACTAAACTTACTGATATATCTTTGTTAACATTTTCTATATCTTCAGGAGCCTTTTGCCATTCCTGAAGTGGAAGTTTCCATTCAGTCAGGGAAGATTTCATCAATTCCCAGACTTCATTCGTGAGTCCTCTTCTATAAGGAAAAAAGTTACTTGTTGTATGTGTGGTAAGAAAGAAAAAGTATTTTAATATATTTAGGAAAACAAACACTCAAAGTATGTACTGTATGAACTGATAGTAAATATTCAAATGGATGAACAGGCAGAGAGATAGGTAAACAGGACCACTCAGACTAATTAGATTAAGCTATTGGATTGTTTGGATCGATGTATCATTATCATTATAAACCACTTCTGCCATTAAGTGTCGTGGGGGAGGAATAATTTGTGTTTCAGTGCGCACGTTGGCTGCCACAGGCTATTGTCATGCCATGAAGGCGTGGAGTGTCATTAATGTCGTTGATCAATATTTTCCACGGCCTTCCTCTGTAGCTGATCTTACGAGGTGTAGTGCTTGTAATAGTATTTGATCTTGCTGCATTCTAACGAGATGGCCAAACCATTTGATCTGCTGTTTCTTGATGAATCTAGTACAAGGTGTTGCTTTCACAATTTGCCTGATGTATCACATGTATTTTAAGTGCTTCTTCTCAGAACCTCATGCGAAAGTTGTCTCATGTGGGATGCAATTTTTCGTTTTTTAAAGCTCCACCCTGGCTTTTGCCAGGGGCCCTGAATATTGCTAGGGCATAGATATGGCCTAACGACTGAAAGTGGTTTCCGGGACCTATCCACTGGTGATCCTCATCTGCATGGTGCACGTTGTGTCACCGGGTGTTTATCGCTTGTGTGATGTCCTGGTGGGGTAGAACAAGAGAGAGAGAGAGAGAGAGAGAACCTCATAATCTTATATTGACTTTTTTCTTGCAAGTTACATTACTGATGTGTAGTATCATTTAGTGAGGTGGATTCATGAGAACAGGATGACATGCTGCAAGGAAGAGAAAATCAGAAGGTTAATAAAGAGAAAATGACTGCAGATAGGTTCAACAGCTTAGTATCTATGAAAAAGCATGTTATCCCCTTGGAGATGGAGCCTTATTTGGAGTTCAGTACCAAGAAGCGGAACCTTCAGGAGAAAATTCTTTTAATTTGCATGCACAAAATTAGAAACAACCCCTGTGGTGGACACCTGAAGTCGCAGAAGCCTGGACAGAGAAACAAGGTGCAACCAAAGACTTGGAGAAATGCAGAAAGTCTTCAAATTTTTCTCATGATCAGAAACAAGACAACACAAAAAAGACAGACTCACTGAACATTTTAAACAACTCACAAAGGAGTCTAAGCACACAATGTGGGAACATTTTTGCCAAGAAATAGATTATGAAAAATCTCTCAGAAAATTCTGGCAGCTCCACCACAAGATGAAGGAAGGCAAACAAATCTCTGTTATGGCCGAGCTAAAATGGACAACAGGGTGGTGTTACCGTCAGATGAAGACAAAGGCAAGGCTATTCTGCACAGATTTCTCCTGCAGATGGAAAACACAGATAGAGCAGAGAGGGAGCAGATGAAACAGAGATTACACAATATCCACATGGCAGAAATGGAGGAAGACGATAATACAGTATACATCTCAACTGATTGCGTCAGAGTAACACTGAAGACTTTTCCAGACACAGCTCCAAAGATTGATGGCATTAGATACAGCGACTTCAAAAGCCTCGAGGAGACAGATATGGATGAACTATCCACGATATTGAACAATACCATGAAAACTGGCATTATCCCTGATGACTGGCTCCACAGCTACCTCAGACCGGTTCCTAAGCCAGGGAAAGAGCACACGAGAATAAATGGATACAGAATCATCACACTCCAGAACACTGTAGGAAAACTCATGGAAAAAATCGTGGTCAGAACGTTTACCCAATCATTGGAGTCTGGTGGTCTATTCCTTGCTACACTAGGTGGTTACCGACCGGGAAGAGATACATGGTGCAATGCTGCAGTATTTGCCTATGACACATATGAGGGTTTCCAGGAGAGAATGGAAATGGCTGCAGCCGCTATTGACTTAGAAGATATGTACAACAGCGTCCTATACAATATTGCTCATCAGACTGCTGTTGGATATGCAGACGGAAACAAAATTGGTCAATGGATCGCAGCAGCGCTATTTTGAAAGAATAGTGTCACTTCGATGTGGTGACTGAGCATCAAAACCTCCATGTGTCTTAATGGGTCTGCCCCAGGGATCACCTTTGTCACCTGTGCTCTTCAATGTGTACACAGCAGGAGTCATGAGTGTGTCATGAAATGAACAGCCACCGTACACATTGGACGAGTCAGGACCTGATATCCTTCGCGCTCAGCAAAATTTCAAACTTAGACCCGTCCGGAAAAGTAAATAGTCCCTTATATTGATCTATACCTTTATCTGGTAGAATATTCATTTCCAGACCTTCTAGTTGCTTCGATATATCTTCATTTTCAAACTTGCAACTGTAAGTTGGCGAATTCTGATATTTTATTTAGAAATTCCTGTCAACCGGTTTACTCCTGGGGCAGGAATACAAGGAAACTTCTTTTCTAGTGACGCTAAGCCTAGTTTGAAGCGGGCATTTTTCTGCCTGACTGCCTAGTAGAACAGATGTGTTCAACGGAGCCTGGTACATTTATGCTTTGAGGAGGCGGCTTTTGGTGTCTAGGACATTTCCTAAGCTTGGGTAAGTTAATTATAGTTTATGAGTACCATAAATGATGTCTTTTTAAAAGGGTCACTGCTGTAGATAGAGCGGTATCAGCTATGTGATCGCACAGAGGTCGGCCGTTCTTGATGTCCAGAGATCAGGCTCGAAACATTAAACCTTTCCCTGTACAGACTAAATAGTTTGTGCTCTAAATAACCCACACCATTTGTAAAGATATTAAACCCTACAAGTAATTATTCTATTACCAAACATAGGATTTGTATTGATTAATAGACACAGGTAAACTGGGTCATTTTTGGCCGGCTTGTTGCTAAGACAGAAGCAAGCTTGGCGCTCTGGGTCAAAGGTTAATTGTAGCACAACAAAGTGTGTATGGTAAACAGAAGGGGGAGGGTATGGAAAATATATGTGAGAGAGAGATGGGATGTGTGTCTACAAGTGCGGGTGGACGAGGAGAGTTGATGTTCTCTGTTTATAGTCTATTTGTCTCCACTCTGGCACTCATCTCCTGTCACTGTTACTGACTGAACAAATGAGATGATATGTAGAGACTTGCACTGTCTCATTATCCCCATAGCTGTCCTCTCAATGGTTACTAATGTGGATATTAATAAACTGAGCTTGACATGTAACCCCTGAGATGACTGCTAATTCTGAGTTCCTTCTTGATACAGGATATCTCCTTGGAAGCCAGGCAGTGAATCAGCAGTCCACAAAACCACCTACAAGGAAGTCACCTATGTCTAAGCTAGTGGTGGGCAGCAAATGATGAACCTCATTGTGGTCATCAAGTCATGAAATCCTCCAGTTGGTCTACAGACAACATTATGGGTGTTGTACCTTCACCATCATTTATCCGGCAGTTTTTGTGTGCCTCAAGTGTTTGACTTGGTATCTGAGATCCTCTCCAGGAGCTTGGGTGTATCTCCAGTGTTCGAGTGTCTAGTGTGGGACTGTCTTGAACATAACAACAGAGTGACTGAACATCCAGCCAGTTCAAGAAACCAAGTATTCAGATAAGTGCGGACACTCATGGGTTTATTGCCAGGCTTCACTATTAAATGTCCATACTGATCATAGGGATGAGAAAGGCAGACTTTGGAACATTCATACACGTTCAGTCAAGTCTAGATCCAGTTGAAGTTTTGGTTCTTCATATCCTCTGGCTTCTTGAAGTTCTTTGCTGGTTCTTATATAATGTATGTGTTACAATGATTACAGTATTTCTGAAGTTTCACTATTGACTGGAGTGTCACTCATTCATTGTTCTTAGCTGTCTAGAATACATGTATGTTCAATTAAATATTTTCATCTGTGTTAACATGGTTATGATAGTAGACTATCATAACCTGGGGGCTATCTTTTTATAGTAGTAGGAATGTCCAGCCAAGTGTGCCTAGGAATATTATATATTTTGTAGTGCCAAAACTTGAGTTGCCCTACTCCAGAAAAAAAGTTGAGCGTATATTGGCCACGGGGCATCCCTTAGACCAATATGAGCCATTGACTCAACATAATTATTTCTGAGTGCTGTTGGTTCTTAAGGAGAAATCCTTAAATCAGGCACGTGACAGGAGTGATATGTGACAGAGTGCACAAAGCGTAGACCTAGGCAGAACAATGTGGTATAAAGATGATATCCTTGTGTACCGTCGAGGTAGAAACAGGCACTAAATTACAAGCACGCTACAACACGAACTAGACAGACTTAGTGAGTAGTGCCAAGTAAACCCATCCAAAGCCTCCTTAACATGGTTCTCTCTGAATACACACATCGTCAGTACACCAACGCCAGTCGTAAGCATGTGTGGTATGGATATTGAGAGAACAAACACCATGAAATACCTGGGCATGACATTTGACAGATGCTTTTCATACAAATACCAAGTAGACAACGTCATACAGAGCCAGGAAAGGTCTGACAGCACTCAAGGTGCTAGCAGCAGCTGATATTGAACAATGCCTACTTTTCCTTCTCTATCAAGGGCTTGTATTAGGTGTCATGGAGAGAGGGAGATGGAGATGGAGGGGGGGGGGAGAGAGAGAGAGAGAGAGAGAGAGAGAGAGAGAGAGAGAGAGAGAGAGAGAGAGAGAGAGAGAGAGAGAGAGAGAGAGAGAGAGAGAGAGAGAGAGAGAGAGAGAGGGAGACTTAAAGGTCATGGCAACTAAGATGGTTATGACGAATGTTTTACTGTGAAAATATCTTACTGTAGAGGGATGACTTCTGGAATCCAGCCAGTTAAGCATTGAATCACACTAATGTCACCAAATTCCTGGTTTTGATTTCCCCCAGTATAGCTATAAAAAATGTAATAATTAATACTGTAATGAAAAACAAAAACTAAACTGAAGAAATATGCATACACACAGATAAAAAACATTTAAATTATTATTTTTTTCATTACTATTATTATTATTCCTCTTCTTTTTCTTCTTCCTCTTCCTCGTCTTCTTCTTTTTCTTCTTCTTCTTCTGCTTCTTCTTCTTCTTCTGCTGCTGCTGCTGCTGCTGCTGCTTCTTCTTCTTCTTCTTCTTCTTCTTCTTCTTCTTATTCTTCTTCCTTTTCTTCTTCTTCTACTGTGTCTTCTTCAGCATTCTGAGCCTCTGAGGTTCACTGCTGCAGACATCCCCCACCTCTATTTATCTCTCTTAACTGGACATCTCTTACTAGTTGGTGACTCCAAGTGTTTCAGGTCTGTACGTATATTGTCTCTTCAGCTTTCTCTTTAGCTGCCTCATGGTCTATCCCATTCAACTTTTTGTACTTACTCAAGTGAAGTGACTTTTAATTGCTTAAAGCATCCTTCACATATTCAAAGCATTATTTACTTACTCAAGTGAAGCATCATTTACTTACTGAAAGCATCATTTACTTACTCAAGTGAAGCGACTTTCAATTACTCACTGCAACATTTTACCTATTTAAGGAAGGCAACTTACTTACTATAAGCACTATTTACTTACTCAAGCGAAGCAATTGTAATTACTCAAAGCAACATTTACTTACTTGAAGCAATATTTTTTTACTCTATTGAAAAAACTGTTAATTACTTTTAAAAAAAAAGAAAAAGAATCAACATTTACTTATCCTGGGGAAATAACTTTTGGCTACTTGAAGCAACACGAAAACACAGTTTAGTGTGTTTTGTTTCAAGACCTGTGCAGACTGTAAAGCATTCACCTGTAGATTATTTAGCTTATATCTAACGGGTGAGGAGTAGTGTCTGGTTTTTACATCAGGATACACTGGTGTGTTGGGAAATGAACAGAAGGACAGACTGGCTGGCTCTGCACAACTTGGTGGAACACTGATGCATGATAAGGCAGACGTGGTTAGTGCCTTGTGGGAGATTGTGTAGAGTTTGGAGGAGCAGACGCATCACCACAGTCTGGTGAGATTGATGCGGGGGTTGGGGGGGGGAGGAAGTGACGAGAGGTTCAGGCCGATGCTCGAGGCCCAGAGGAAAGGCAAGACGGATGTTTAATCAGAATGCTACTGGTACCATTAGTACTGGAACTCTTCGCTGGCTGTTGAAGATGGGGACAGAGCACTTATGGAAATGCCCCGAGTGCTGTGATGTCGGTTCTTGAATCAAATTAAATCAAATCAAGAAGAAGAAGAAGAAGAAGGAAAAAAAAAAGGAAAAAAGATGGTGGATGTTAAGAAAGGCATGCATATTTGTAAAAGTCTCACAAATAACTGTTGGCTACTTGAAGCAACATTTATTTACTTACTTTAGTGAATCAGCTTTTACTTAAACAAATTAAGCAACATTGTATTATTCTAGTAAAGCAATTCTTACTTACTCAAGTAAAGTAACTCCTACTTTCTCTATTATAGAAACAACTTTTACTTTCAAACAACTTTTACTTACTCAAGTAAAGTAACTTTCAGTTATATCAGTGAAGTATTACTTACTCTAGTGAAGCTACTTTCATTAATGCTTTGGTCAGCAACATAGGCCAGAGCTCATGCTGTAATGTGGTTGTAGGCAGCAGAATCCGGCCATGACTATCAAATGGTATGGTGTCATCAATTGTTATTTTGCGCCAACAGCCCTGCAATTTAAAATAAACACAATTTACATAATTCTGATAATCTGTCAATTTTATGCTAATGAACACAAACTGCTCAAGAAACCAGCTTTAGAAATGCTCATGAAGTAAATTATTACAAATCCACATCAAAGTGGGTGTTTTTCTTAAAACTCAAAACTGAACTTGGCACCAGATAAACCCAACCTAAAATGGGTACCTGTTACCATCCTGGGTTTCAAATGTGACCTGCTTGATGTTAAGCAATCAGACACACTTAAGTATACCTGGATCTCTGAAAATATGTGTCTACCACCATATGCCTGATATACCATTGGTATAAAAACAGGTCCATCACTTTTTCTAAATTGTATATTTTTGGGGGGAACTTTATTTAAAAAGGAGACCTGTTTAGTGCAGTGGCAATCTTGACTGCTGGCTGAGAAGTTTTATTTTCAAACACTTTTTGAGACTGAGATTTGTTGACCTGGGCTTCCAGGCTGACACAGCCTGCATTAAGCAACAGGAAAGTGTGTGGAAAGTAAAGGCAGCCAGTGCGATATTGAACAGATTATGCATAGACAGGCATGCTCCGTGCAGAGTGGCAAGCATCGCTTCAGTGGTCCCAGGTAGTTAGCATCCTTTGGGTATTTTCTCCAAGTCATGCCAGTGTGTTGGGAAATGAGCAGGCAGGCAGACTGTCTGGTTCTGAGCCACTTGGTGGTAAACTGATGCATGACAAGCTGGATATTGTGAGGACTCTTTGGGAGCAAGTGAACAGTGCCAAGGCACAAATAAATCATTATGGTCTGAGGAGAAAGAATGGCACTGCAGAGAGTTACCAGAGGATCTGGCTGATGCTCAACACCCAAGGGAAAGGCGGGACGGACATAAAATCAGAGAGTTGTTGGTGCCATTGGAACTGGAACTTTTCGCTTGCTGCTAAAGATGGGGATGGAGAACTTATGGTAGTGTCCCAACTGCTGCGACATTGATTCCTAATTCAATATGCAACATTCAATAGATTATCTATCATGTGTCAATTCACAAATCAGGCTAACATTATTTGTTTGTTATGCCTCAGCATGATAAAGGATCGTTTCCTTTATTTGCATACTGAAAAGGGTACCCAAGTCATGATAATCATAGTTCTTAAAGAGCGTAACTGGTAATACATTAAACAAAATAGGTAGCAGGAAATGTAATGTGAGGTAAAGATAGATGGCTTGATGTTAACCACATATTAAATACCAATGTTTAATGCAATATCTTTTATTTTGCATATGGGAAAACAACATTGGTTTTTAATATTTGTGTATGAATTGCAATTACTTCTAACTGAACATTTTGTGTGTGCGTGTGACCACATTTTTATAGGGTACAGCTGTGATGTGAGGAACAGTTTGCCGAACGGTTAAGAACACGAGGCTTTCATGTGAGAGACCTAGGTTCAAACCCTTAATAAGGTGGAGGATTTTTTTTTGGTGTGGGATAAAAATAACATCCTAACCTGCACAGTCCATGGAAACAGCACTAGCCACTCAGCCCTAAATCCTCAAGCTCAAAGACCCTTGCCTGCACCGCATAAGTGGTAAATACAGGCAGTGAATGTTGAATTTTGAATTAACAATCGACATCACAGCACTCGGGACACTCCCCTAAGTGCTCCGTCCCCATCTTCAACAGCAAGCGAATAGTTCCAACTATAATGGCACCAGTAATGGCAGTTTAACAGCAGATACAGACAGTATATAAAGGGGATTTGACCTCATTAGTGCAAATGAACTTGCATGACTGTTATATTTTTGTTAAACGGGGTTGGCACCATATGTCTGATGTGGCTCAAGGCATGAAAACCCTCAGCTACATTCTTTACTTAGTGACACTTAGTGACACATAATCTTTAAGAATAAGACAGAAGTTCGGCCATAATGGTCGATAGCTGACTGACCGCTGATGCTATGAAAAGTTACTTGTTTCCAGATAGGTTCTGCTGATAATAATTGCCCATTTCTGGATTGGGAGTCAAGAGATTTTATCATCCAGCTACGGAGGCGAGTGCTTGGTGTGACACAGTGAACTGTATATTTCACGTGGAATTTTTTTTGTTGTTGTGCCCTGTGGCCAGAACTAAAATGGTGGGTTCGCCGATGAAGTTGAGAATGGCATTCACTTATGTCAGTACAATGCCAGCTTTCATAGCTTACTGTTTGCGCAGTTAGCCTCAGTTCTGGTGTGGGACTGTTAGTGGTAGCACACCTGACAGCTGCTTTCTGCATTTTTACTTTGCTTGTGCAAGCTTAAAGATGTTGCTAAAGCTAACTAGTTTTTTTCACTAGTTTTAAAATGGGACAATGAAAGACATTTAGGATTATTTTCACTGGCACAGTAACGGAGCAGTTAAGGGGCAACCTGTCTGCAATGGAACCTCAACTAACGACTATCAACTTACAAGAATAAATGACATTATAATGAACAGAAAAAAACTGTAATCTATAAGAATAAATGACATTATAACAAAAAGATACAACTGTAATCTACAAGAATAAATGGCAATATAACGAAAAGATAAAACTGTAATCTACAAGAATAAATAACAATATAACAAAAAGATAAAACTGAAATCTACAAGAATAAATGACAATATAACGAAAAGATAAAATTGTAATCTACAAGAATAAATAGCAAAATAACGAAAAGATAAAACTGTAATCTACAAGAATAAATGGCAATATAACGAAAAGATAAAACTGAAATCTACAAGAATAAATGACAATATAACGAAAAGATAAAACAAACCACTAACCATCCAGTACAGCCGGACAACATATTTCCCATACACATTATACAAAGGCAAATGAGATGCTTTCCCAGCCTTACAGAGAGAGTAAATGTGTTCCCACGGGTTCCATGTGTGGCTCAAATCCCCGCCTTGAGAAGATAAATCAGCTGTGCTTTCTGCTGGGATATTTACAGCTGACAGTTCCCACAATGTGACGATCTGGCTGATGCAGTGGCGAATAAACTGTGAAACCAGATTTAAGTACTTTATACATGTTACAGTGATTAATATATCCTAACTGTTTAAAAAACAAAAATATGTATGGTTATCTGATGGTGCGTTTGGTTAAGTTGATGGGAAAGCCTGTATGCCTAAAAACTATCAAAGATCCAGATTTAAAAGAATCGTCAACTGGTTAGTTGAACAATAAGGTATTCCTGTGTGCAATTTGAACAATTTCACTCACTAAATTATAAAGATTTTGAATATCAAAATTATGATAAAAATTATGTTTCTTTCAGTTTGTTAGTTAATCTTTCCACCTGAGCCTCAGACAGCGTAAATGGCAGAGGTCATAAGTCTCCATGACTGGCGGCTAACTGCCACCTGTTTTGATCTTGGATGTTCATAAGGCCCATGGCTGTGCCTTCCCTGATAATGGTTCTATGCAGGATCTCTCTTGGTCTTGCCCGTTTTCTTTTTCCCTGAAGGATTGATGGGGAAGTCTTATTCATTCTGAGTGCATGGCAGATGTAGTTCCAGCGGCACTTTCTTATAAAACTGGATACCTTATCTTGCTTGGTCTCTTTTCTTATTTGCGGATTGGATCTGAAATCTGTCTAGTATTTTTCAGTAGTCTCATGCAGAAATACCACCCGACCATCTCCACCTGGGAGCTTGAGACACCGTTCACCGACGAAAGCCTCGCCCATGTGATATACAGAAACCATGACATACTCGATGCAAGGTCGAGAGTCGAACAGTACATCCGTGACGCAGAAATTGACACTATGATAATATACACAGACGGCTCGAAAACCAGCACGGGAGAAGTCAGGGCAGGTGTTTACATACCGGCCTGGAAGACCACACACGAATACCGACTCACTAACGATATGGCAGTCTGCTCAGCTGAGCTGGTAGGGATTCTCAAAGCACTGGAGCTAGCCTGCAAACGGCCCCCCATAAAACTCCTCGTCCTTTCCGACTCTCTATCAGCAGTACAAGCCCTGAGGGACTTCTAGAAAGTGAGCCGGCAAGACATCAAAGAAGAAATCCTGACAATTTCCACCAGACTCAGAAGCCTGTGATGCCAAACTACCATTGGTTGGATCCCAGCACACATAGGCATTGAGGGCAATGAAGCAGCAGACAGAGCGGCGAAGAGAGGCACGGTTAGCCACAACACAGTATTCGCGGGACTGGGCAAAACTGAACTAAAAGCGATTATCAAAAGCAGAATATGCAGAGAATGGTCCCAACAGTGGTCGACCAGCGACAAAGGCAGAGCTGCCTACAAACTACTCAACAAACCCAGTCTCAAGAATCAAGTGACTAAACCGACCAAAATTCCGGCAATCCGAAAACTGTGGAAGATGCGACTAGGGTGCTGGCCAGACCGATTCCGCACTCCTGTGTGCGAGGAATGCAGGGCCCCCAACTCCATGGAGCACTTCTTACTAAACTGTAAACACCACGAAATAGAGAGACAAAAGCTCGTGCTGCACTTCAGAGCCTCAAACCAACCAATGACAACTGAAAACTGCCTCAGTGTAAGCTGCGACGACAAGGTCCAGCAACTTGTAAAGCAGTTCATATCCAGAACCGGGAAAGCGATCTGAGAGCCACCCCTCATCATGATGTGACCAGATCCAGTGAGTACCAGCACCCACTACAGAGGCAACTTTACCTCTCACTCACTCTTCCGACCTCACTGTGTGTCCTCTCAAAGGCATTCCTGCCCCTCTGCCTGTACCACTTCCACTCCTTCTCTGCCACAGGCGAATCACTCAGTCTAAAAAATTCAACTAACATAAATTTCTCACAGTATATTTTCAGAAAGATTAATACAACCGAACCTACCAAAGGCCACCCGACGCTCCGAGGCAAACCAGCTAAAGGGCATAGCACAAGAAGGGGACCAGCACTCATGGATTTCAGTCTGTTATGCATTTCATTTTGTAAACTCCCCCGCCCCTCCCACATATATTTCAATATTAATCAACTTATTTTCAGCTAAAAACCGAGGAAACCCACCAAAGGCCACCCGGCGCTCTGAGGCAAACCAGCTAAAAGGGCATTGCACAATAAGGGGACCAGCACTTGTGGAATTCCAGACTACCACGCTTCTCTGATAACTTCACCCGTCCCTCCCCACATATATATAAAATGTAAATCAGTCTATTTTCAGATCTACCCAGGCAGAGCAGGCAGTGTGCAGGACTCAACTCACCAAGGACCTCTTCCTCAACCTAACAAGCTATCTGTCTCTCTCCATCTTCCGACCTAGCTATAAAATATCTTGGCACCTTCGGGCGTTCTAATTTTGTTGCAACCTTTGTTACCTCCTCTACTTATCTAACGACTGCGCATAACAAGTAGATTGTGACAGTCGTCCTGTGGGGGCCGTGTTTTAGGGCGCTCAGTGTGCAGGACTGTTTGTTTCGCGGCGGTGTGACTGCGGACTGACTTGGTACTAACACAGATGAACAGTGCAACAGCTAGCGAATAGCCAATAAAACAGGAACCAGGCCCCTCAGAACCAGAACTTAGGCAACAAATGAACAAACTCAGGTGAAAGAGCTCACCACAAAGGAAGATAAATAAAATAAGATAGCAAAGGAACCGTCCTTGAAAAAGCAGGCCATCAGGCGGCTAAAAAAGGACTAAGCTTGGAATTTTTGTTTGATTTTATACGATACGATACGATGTGTTTATCCTAAGAAATTTTCTGCAGTTCAAAGGTTACAATTTTTTTTTAAAGATTGAGTAAAAGTACTCAGTTATGCAGTCAGTATCATTTACATCTGACATTTCGAGTCCTAGCAATTTCTTTTCTTTTTTCTCTCTTTTTTAAGTATCTAGAAAGCATCAGTTGAAAACCTTTTGGCTCGATACTATGGATATCGCAACCCTTCGCCCTTGATTCCTGACAGATACCGTAAATCTGGGAGAAATGTGGCTTTTCTGCCTACCCCCGGGCATGAACCCGGACCACAAGGAGTATGTCACCAACTTAGCTAGCGAGCCGGGCAGTCCTAACAAATTAAAACAATATATATGAGAGAAAGAAAGTTAAAATCACAAGTGGGATAAACTAAGTTATAGTAACAGAATAATGGGTTAGTAAAAGGCTTAAAGTACATACTGTATATTTAAGTTAATATAGGGTGAGCTGTCTGGTATTTCAAGGGTTAAAAAACAAAGATCTCTTATCCACAATTTAAGCCATATTGGGATATGTAATAGCTTCTTATTGTTTAGACCAATTTACATTTGATGTTAGTTGTTGTAGGATGGATAAAAGGATTTTTATTTAAAAGAGGAAGAGTTGCACAATTCGTCGACCTCACTCTCTCGCCCAAGACCATCTAAGTCCAGTGGCAAGACCAATCAAGACGTCTGGAGATGAACTCAGATGCAGTGGATGACCAGGGCTCCTTACTAATTTTACACTGGGTTGACCTGGCAGCACAGGTCAACTTAAAAATAATCTTACTTGGACAGAGATCCGAACACATAACCCTCAAGCTAAGAGACACACATGACAGCTATAGAATTACGCATGCTCTCACATAGCATCAATTGAAAGTGTCAGAAAATGTATGTGTTTTTAAATGCTCACTAGTTTTAAAATCCATTTTACATAACAACAATCTTGTTGAAATACACTGTGATTAAATCTTACCTCACTTTCATGCAAGTGTTCATTTGCACTGATAAGGTCAAATCCTTTTAGTATACTGTCTGTTTCTAGTACAACTGGGGCCTATATAAATGTAATTTCACCAAAGTTTTCAATAAGAAATAATTAAAATTCATACACAAAAATTAACATATTTTTGCCAAACAAAATTAAAAGAAAAATTACAGATAACTGCAGTAACCAGATTTACCTAATGTGCACAGAGGCCTTGAGAACAGGGTCTTTTAACGAATCTTGAGACCCATCAAAAATGAAAACAAGGGAGAATAGAGAATGAGAAGCAGAGAAATGCATAATCTGTTTAAATAAAAAATTACTGGTATGAAAAGGGTTAATAGATTACAACGGTTGAAGTATGTAGAAAGAATGAAAGATAACAGTGAGACATCTGTTTAAATCACAAATTACTGGTATGAAAAGGGTTAATGGACTACAACGGTTGGGGTACGTAGAAAGAATGAAAGATAACAGCGAGACATAAGCTGTGTACACAAAAGAGTACAATGGAAATAGTCCACAAAAAATATCAAGAAGATGATAGAGAGATATTATACAGTCAATCCTACCTGGAGTCAACAAGTGAAAGGAGAAGTCAGTCATAGAAATGAACGGAGGCAGGTGATATCTTGTCATAAGTTGCCTTGAGACAATGTCTCCTGCTTAACAGATGGCAATAATATAGTGCTATTAAGATTTCTTGAATAAAGTACAAATTTTGTGATAGTGAGTCAATTTTTTTAAATCCCTAATATGGGGTCCTGGAACCCAAACAGGGAGGGATCCTCCTATCCAATTCAGGCCGGGTCAGCTTCAGAACAAATGTCAGTTATAAATAATCTCCCCAACTGAGTATTCAAACCAAATATCTTCAGGTCATCAGACATATATATAGCCACTACACTATCATGGCTGAACAACTAAATAGTGAAAAATTACACGCAACATAGAGTTATGGTTTAAGCCTTTTGGAGGGGAGAAGAGGTAGAGGGAGACCAAGATAACAGATGCTGGACAACCTGACATCATGGCATGGAAGATATCTGTATCAGAGCTAACTGAAAGTACATGAGACAGAAGGTTGTGGAAAGACAAGACTACCAATGCCACATGGCATGGACTTTAAGAAGAAGAAGAAGAGGAGGAGGAAGAAGAAGAAGAAGAGAAGAAGTAAGCATTAAATCTTTTATTTAAAAATTTTTTTTTTAACTTTTACTCCAACTTGCCTAGGAGATAAAGAGAAAAAATGTCACAAGGTTTAAGTAATTATTTTAATCAATCAGGTACCGTTTCCAAAATGAAGATTGACCGCAGTGGATCTCCACCACCCTCTGTCTACCATCTTAGTTGTGCACTCTCTTAGACAGACTGCTGTTTGTCCATCTCTTGATGTTGTCCTCCCATCTGTATCATCGTCTAACCCTGGCTCTCTGGCCTTCAACTTTTCACTCCAGTATGGTTTTTAAAAGTTATATTAGTGTGGCTAAACGAAATATTTCAGTTGTCTCTTTTTAATTTTTTCAGCACCTCTGTATTTGACTGTGTTTGTTTTCATGATTTACTACTTCTTCTTCATTTATTTATAGTCCATACTATTTTCTAAATGCTTGTTCGTGACTTATAAATTCTCATTACTGCTAAAATATCCAAGCATCAGCCATTAAAGACAACTAATCAACTACATTTATTTTCACTCTTTGTAAATCAGATCTGGCCACTAAACAAGGAACAAAAGAAAAGATAACTGTTTGTTTTAACTCCTAACTAAAAAGAACTATTAACTTGGTGGGTGCCAAATGGTTTTTGCAGCAGATGCTCAAGTAAATCATCAGTGTTTTTTTGTTTTTGTTTAAAAAGCTGAATACACAGTTAAATGAGCTATAAGAAGGAAGAGAAAATTCTTTAGTATGTGCTGACAAGCAAAGCATCAGATAACATCTGACACTATGGTCAGGATTCACAACAAAGGACCAGTCCTGTTTGACATTTTCCTTGAGACTGAATGATGTATTTCTAAAAAGAAAAGACATACTAAGAAATAATGATATCAGAGAAATGATAGGAATAATGCCATGAATGGCAAAACAGAGATAGAAAGAGACCTACAGAGAATAAGGTTGTTCGGGCATCTAATGAGAAAAGATACCCCCATCCCCTCCCCACCCCCCTGCAAATGTAAAGTAGAAGGCTACAGCGCATGAGGAAAACAAAGAAGCTTACAGATCGACCACTGAAATCTTACAATTACACAGATTCACATTAGCCAAGCAACACATCTGGTGCCTGGGATCTCAGTGGTAGAGTGGTTAAGTTGATTATTCTCAAGGTTGTGGGTTAAATTTCACACTCTGTCCCTAAATTCACAAAGATGGTTCAGAGATCCCTGGAGTCATGGCTGGAGATACGGAGTTCATGCACTGTGTGAAGCAAATGCAGGAAATCAGACAAGGCTGAAACTTACAGCACACAAAGAAGTTATTATCCAAGCATATTTACCTTGATCATAAATTCTCCTGGTCTTCTCCATGTATCTACTTTCAAGGATGGTGGCAGCTCAGTCTTTCCTTCAGGGTCGTCAAAGTAGTTATGTGATTGTTGCTGAGTGTAAGAAAATACAAAAATACAACATTAAACTTTTCCATTGCACTATGAAAGAACTATTTTGTATATGACCATTTCCACAAGTTTGTTGCTGAGTATGAGGAAACTAACAAAAATTCAACATTAAACTTTTCCATTGCACTATGAAAGAACTATTTTGTATATGACCATTTCCACAAGTTTGTTGCTGAGTATGAGGAAACTAACAAAAATTCAACATTAAACTTTTCCATTGCACTATGAAAGAACTATTTTGTATATGACCATTTCCACAAGTTTGTTGCTGAGTATGAGGAAACTAACAAAAATTCAACATTAAACTTTTCCATTGCACTATGAAAGAACTATTTTGTATATGACCATTTCCACAAGTTTGTTGCTAAGTATGAGGAAACTAACAAAAATTCAACATTAAACTTTTCCATTGCACTATGAAAGAACTATTTTGTATATGACCATTTCCACAAGTTTGTTGCTAAGTATGAGGAAACTAACAAAAATTCAACATTAAACTTTTCCATTGCACTATGAAAGAACTATTTTGTATACAACCATTTCCACAAGTTTGTTGCTGAGTATAAGGAAACAAAAATACAACATTAAATTCCATTATGGAATTATAAAAGAACTATTTGTGCCAAGAAAAAAGAAAAAAAAAAAAGAAAAAAAAATATTTTGTGCAAGATAAAAATACTCTTTCAGATAACTTCATCAATTAGCACGTCTTTTACAGAACGTCCCTCTCCTTCACAGCACGCCTGAAAGTATCCCTTTCCCTAGCCAGCTCTCCGGCCCCATATGCTTTCAATGCCAATGCATCTTCAATGTCTTCTATCCATCTTCGTGGTGGTCGACTCTGCCTCGCCTTTCACAAACTGCATCCTCCATCACCGTCTTTTCCAAGCCACCATGATGCTTGATGTGGCCAAAATACTTCAACTTTTGGGACAGGATGCTGTTTATGAGCCAGTTCTCCTTGATGTTCAACTCATTCAGAATGTCCATGTTTTTCCTCTTCCTGATCCATGGTATTCTAAGAATTTTTCTTAAAAGATTTTTTTTTTGGCTGAATAACAGGGAGATATAATACAATATTCATCTCATCACATTTCATTTTGATCCTCTGGTATTTTGCAGTGTTGAGGAGAAGTATAACTTGCAGGAAAGTGCTATTTGTGCACTTTATAAATGGGATCCCAGCGAGTCTATACTCTCTCTGTCCACTGTTTGCATGGTCAGCCTCTTCTTTACTTCTCATCTGATCTGTACATCATTGATGTGGTATCATGTCTGCTGTCATCTGCCTTATATATAGCCAAACCATTTCACTTTTTTTTTTCAAATGAAATCCAAAGCTGCCATTACCTGCATTTTCTTTAAAATTTCACTGTTTCTGATCTTCTCTTTTCTTGTCTTATTAAGAGCTCTTCGCAGGAATATAACTTCAGTTGTTGTAATTGTTCTTTTTATCTTCCTGTGTCAGTGTCCAGGTCTGGCACTGATAGCACAGGGTTGGCAAGAAGACTGTGTCACAGACTGCTCTACTGGTATCTAGTGAAACATATTTGTTTCTTAGTATTGGTGCCATTTGCTCAACAAGTTGATTTGCTCTGTTACAGCTTCGACCTCGTCTTCTGTTTTGCCAGCTTATGACATTATGCTTCCTAAGTATTTAAAGCTCTTGTTTTCTTTGGGAGGGTGTTCTGTAAGTTGGATATTTATTGTATTGTCTACTTTGTTTATGGTCCTGACCTCTGTTTTGATGGCATTAATTTTCTGTAATACTCTAAGCACACGGTTTAAATCATGTTTAATGGTCTTGCAGTTCTATTTCTGAAGTAGCAATTTATGCTTGGTTGTCCACAAATAGTAGTTCTTTGATGAAACTGTCTGTCGTTAGGTCTTCTTCTCCTTGAGATATTATAGTACTTGTCTGGCTGGTTTCTTGACAGATGTAATCAATACAAGTTATGAATAGCAGAGGAGATAGCACTGCCGTACTCTGGATTTTATGGTGAATGGTTAATGAATATAATATTAAATTCTTTACTTAATGGGGTAAAAACATTTTAGATAAATATTTTCACAAAGTAATTCTGCAGTTGTTGCTGAGTGCTAGGAAAACAAAACACAAAATAAAAATCTTTGGCGAAAAGTACTTTAAACAAATCTATGATAACCATTTTCTACTGCATGTGTACAAAAGTTAACTATGGCAGTGCAGCACTGATAATTATAAAACACACATGAACACTATGGTCAGGTTTAGTTCCAAACAGCAAAGACATTTATGTCAAAATTAATATAATTCTAGGATCAACTGTCAGGTTACATCATGTTCTTTGGTCTGAAAACTAGCAGTTTCTCCACCATAGATTTATGACCTCCATTAATTTATGCTTAAGAAAATAATGTGTTTTTCCCTAATACCTGTCATATTCATAATAAAGGTTTGTTGACTCCACCTTTGATACACATTTTTTGGATTACCTCCATCTTCGACACATGTTTTTTTACTGCCAGGACATGAGCTTTGCAGTTATTCATTTATTCTGGGAGATACTAATTGTCTGAATGCTGTTTGTTGCACACTTAGGCCTTTATGATGCTGTTCTTTCACATGAAGATCCAGCTGGGCGTTTCCTGATCCCTTATCCTTTTAAATGTCTAATTAGCATATAACTGATGTTGTATAAATAAGACAAATGTTACAGCCTTCTATGTCTGTATGTTACAAGACAGCTCAGGAAAGTGGCTATCCTCCGACTAACGGTCGGCGATGATCACCATGTATCTCAGTAAAAACTGCTCCCATAAACCGAACATTACATCCGTGAAACCCGTGACCTTCACGACAAAGACAACAACAACAAAAACCGAGTCCAACAAATGCAAACTGAGCTGCTTAGTATTGAATGAGTTAAGAGCCAGGAAATTAAAAATAAAGAATCAGTTTTATTTTTGATGTTTTTATTCTGATACAAGTCTGATTTAATTATTCACCTCATCTACTATATCATGGTAGTGTAGTGGATAGACACTGACCTGCCAGCCCTAAGGTCAAGGTTCAAATCTGCTTCAAAAAAAGGTGTTTTTCAAAAGTGGCCTTGGCTTCCAGGGTTGACCCAGCCTAAAATGGGTACCAGGTAATGTCCTTGGAGGTAAAGGCAGCCTGCATGATGCTGACGATATCACCTTTTGTGTGTTGATCAGTTTATTAAAATGCAGGTCTAGCAGTAAAAGTGATGCAGCAAAAGCATTAAAAAAGTCCTTTTACCATTCTGATAGCAAGGGAAGTCATATACTACCATCACACATGGTCATTTGGATTAGTGACTATTAACAATGAACTGTCAGGCTCAAATCCTTTGTGAGATAATGTATAGTTTTGTCGGGGCAACAATACAATTCTAACCTGCTCAGTCCATGGTGACTGCACTAGTGTTGCAGCCCTCAAATAACCACCCCCCCCTCAGGCTCATACCCCCCCCCCCCCCCCCCCCCCCCCCCCCCCCACTTCCTCGTACTATATTGCCCTAAACAACAGTAAATTCAGAAGCAAAGACAAGATCACCAGAGTCTCTGACAAGTTCTGTGTTCCTATCTTGGTCATGCCATGTAGTCAAGCCATTCAGATATTTATTTTTTTGCCAGTTGCCCATTGAGGTTGCCATGCTTTGAAGTTATCACTGCATACAAATAACAAAGAACTGCTGGTTAAGAGGCAGTGGGCCTATTCCTTTTTTCAAAAAAATGTAGCCCTGTAGCCCACACACGGATGTTGACGTACAACAGCCCACAAGGGGATGTTGATGTACAATAGCCCACATGGGGATGTTGATGTACAATAGCTACAAGGGGATGTTGATGTACAATAGCCCACAAGGTGATCATCATCATCAGGTGCCTTGCCGACTGGCGTGGGCGATCATGCCTCTCCATAATTTGTGATCTCCTGCAGCATGTATCAGTTCAAGTGCTGACACACCTCCATGCCATGCAACAAGACTTCAAGCATCTTCTCTCGTTGTCTTCCTCTATCTCTCCTTTCAAATATCTTTCCAGTGGTCACAACATGTTCAATTTTCCCTCTTCTCATAACATGGCCGAAAAATGATGACTGTCTCCTTCTGATGTCTGTGATAAGTTGTCTTCGGTCTCACGCCTCTTTCAAAACCTCTTGGTTGCTCTTTTTGGCTGTCCAAGGTATTCTAAGCATTCTTCTGTAAAACCAAATCTCAGAGGCCTCCAGAAATTGTTTGGCCTGCCTACCGATTGTTCAGGATTGACAGCCATATGTTAAAACTGGATGTTTGTAGCAAGCAAGAATTCTTTTTCTAACTCTCAATGACAAGATGTTTTTCATTTTATAAAATGCAGTTTTTGCCTGTCCTATTCTATTTCTTATCTCAGTTATGCATCTTCCATCTAATGTTATCCATGTGCCCAGATACTTAAATTTCTGTACTTGTCCTAAGATAACACCGTCAACTTTTATTACACACTTAGAAAGAATTCGTTTCTTTGATACCACCATTACTTCTGTCTTCCCATTATTCAAACTGAGGCCCATTCTTCCACTTTCTAACACCACAATGTCTATTATTTCCTGTAGTTCTTTCTGACTTGTTGCTATCAAGACTGTATCATCAGCATAATGTAAATTGTTTATATTGTGCCCACCAACCACAATAACTGGCATACCAATTAAAGCTCTCATTATATTTTCACTGTATATTGAAAACAAATCAGGTGACAGTACACATCCTTGTCGTACGCCCCTCTTTATGCTTTAAAATGTACCTAAACAGTTGTTAATTTTTATAGCTGCTGTTTGCTGCCAATACATATTCTTTATTTTTCGTAGATCTTTCCCATCAATGTTTAATTTTTCTAACAGTTTGAGTACTTCTTCATGCTTCACACTGTCAAATGCTTTTGTATAGTCTATGAAGCATATATACAAATCAGTCTTTACTTCTTTAGCTCTTTCTGACAATGTCCTTAGGATGTATATGGCATTGTTTGTGATTTTTCCTTCTACAAATCCACATTGTTCATCGCTGATTTCTGGTTTAATTTTGTTTCTTATTCTTCTTATAATTATTCTTAGTAAAATCTTAGTCATGTGACTCATACGACTTATTGTGCGAAGGTCTTCACATTTTATAGTGCCTGGTTTCTTAGGCAGAGCTATAAATATGGATTTTAAAAGGTCATTTGGAATATACCCACTATAATAAATATCATTTAAAAGTTTAGTTATTATTTCAATTCCAAAATCTCCCAGTGCTTCGATTTCTTCCAGTGAGATGTTTTTTGGCCTGGGTGCTTTTCCTTTCTTCATATGATGTATTGCATCCTCAACTTCTGCAGTCATTATTGGTGGACCATCATTGTTGGTCTGCAGTTCTACATCTGGTCTATCAACATCATACAATTCCCCTATATACTCTATCCATCTGTTAATTATATTATTATGTCCCATGAATAAGTCACCATCTATTGATTTCAAACATCCAGTGCTCTTTGGTGTCATCTTTCCTGTTAACATATTTATCTTTTAGTACATGGAATGTGAGTCTTTCCTGTTGTTTTCCCCAATCTCTGTACACATTTGATTCAGCCAGGCTTCTTTAGCCACTTTGCATTTGTTCACTATTTCTTTTTGTATTCTAGAGTATTCTTCTTTATCATTCTTTTTCTTCCTTCTTTCATCCATCAATTGCAGAATTTTGGTTGACATCTATTTCTTTTTTGCAACTCTATGGGTTGGTGGGATTGTCTCTTTAGATGTCTGCTGAATTAACTCACGCAACATATCCCACTGTTCATCAATAGTCTGTATAATTTCCATTGCATTATGCCGGTTTTGTACAGTGACATTGTAATGGTCCCTAATTTCTTTATCGGTTCTAAGAATTCCTAAATTTAACTTGATGTTCTGTGGTGTTTTTCTAATGTTTTTTAGTTTTATTCTAATTTTTCCTACAACTGGAACATGGTCACAAGGGGATACTGATGTATAATAGCCCACAAGGGGTTGTTGATGTACAATAGCCACAAGGGGATGTTGATGTACAATAGCCCACAAGGAGATGTTAATGTATAATAGCCCACATGGGGTTGTTGATGTACAATAGCCCACAAGGAGATGTTAATGTATAATAGCCCACAAGAGGATGTTGATGCATAATAGCCCACAAGGGGTTGTTGTTGTACAATAGCCCACACAGGACTGTTTATGTGCAATAGCCCACACAGGAATGTTTATATGCAATAGCCCAGATGGGGATGTTGATGTACAATAGCCCACACAGGGATGTTGATGTACAATAGCCCACAAGGGGATGTTGATATACAATAGCCCACACGGGGATGTTGATGTACAATAGTCCACATGGGAATGTTGATGTACAATAGCCCACAAGTGGATGTTGATGTACAATAGCCCCAAGGGGATGTTGATGTACAATAGCCCATGAGGAGATGTTGATGTATAGCCCACATGGGAATGTTGATGTACAATATGTCACACAGATTTAGAAATATTCAAACATTTTTAAAATTAATTAAAATCATAACAAATTAAAATGTATGCTGTCTAAACTCAAAAATAATTATGTAACTTACGAGTGTTGGTGATTTTAAATTTTTCTTTTCCTCTTTCTTGGTTGTCTCCTGTGAGAATCACATATAAATTACCTTCAAGGCATAAACATAAAAAAACACACACAAAAAATAAACATTCATCTTAATAAAAAGAGCATCTTTTTTTCTAATGCAGAAACATCAAAAAGAAAACATGGAAAACAATCAGCTTTCTCTGATACCTCATTCTTTTACAGAAATGAATGCTGGTCTCATTATTTATTGGAGCTAAATGTAGTGGTTAGGCACTTCCCTGCTAGGTGAAAGTTTGAGTTTGACACAGCAAGGTTAGTTATTTTTTGTTGTTATTTTTTAACTAATGACCTGAGTTCCCTAGCCAGCTAAGCTGAAACAGGTACCAGAAAATCTCATGTTTAAGTAAAGGTGACCAGTGTGATACAGTGGTTTGCATTATTAACATTTTAGGTTTTTTACACTTATCAGATTTTCATATTCTCAAACATGCCAGATAGAGTTAACATAATTTGAATAATTAAGCATTTCAATTTTTTTTTAAAAACAGATTTTAAGGACGTCCCCCCCCCCCTTCCCCTTTTTTCAACTTTTTTTTTACTTCTAAACTGTGTTGATTGTTTTTATATAATTTTCTTTAAATACACAGAAACCATGTTTTTCATGTAGTAGTAATAGAAATGTAAACAACTATATCCTGTTCAACCCATCTGGGTATTAATTAGGATGTATGTAGCCTTTTTATAGTTTGATATTGCATATTTATGCTTGCCAATTACTTTTAGTCATTTAATATTGCATAAAATATTATTAAATGTTAACAGTTTTACAGGAGTATAAATTGTTAAGATTAATGAATTTTAGGTGAAATTTTGAAGTAACTGTGATCATATTGTGTAATTTTTCTTTGAGAGTATTTAAGGAGTTCTTGGATGCCCTATTCTGTCTTATAATACATTAACCCATTAGATTCAAACCGTGTTCTTATGAGGCACTGTTTAATCTTTCCCTGTATATTTTGTACATTATTTCTAGCCGAGGTCTCAAAATGTTTAAATGTGAGAATGATTTATACATCTGCCAAGGTGAGGATTTTTTTTTTAAAAGTTACTTTTTAATTAATATAATAAAAAGTTTCACCACAACAACAAAACTAAATTTTTTTAAATGACTACACTGACACTTTTTTTTATACAATTTTTTAGACACTGATTACAACAGATCTGAGATAAAAGATATTGCAATTTTTTAATTTCTTCTTCTTCTTCTTCTCTTCCACCTTGTACCTCAGCGAAGTTTCGGGTGTGGGGGGGGGGGGGGGGGGGGAGTGGGGAGATGTAACATTCCTTGGTGAGCTCTGTCAAGAGCGCTATAAAGACTGATGTTCATTTCTGTAAGGCTGTCCTTAATGCCATCACCCCGTTTTTTTTTCAAGGTCTTCGACTCGTTCTATACCCGTTATGAAGTTTTAGTGTGGCTCGCTGTGGCAGATAGTACCAGGGCATTCTTGTAAAGTGTCCAAACCACTTCTAGCATTCATCTGATTTCGTAATTTTGTATTCTGTTTTTCCTTGAAACTCCTGAAGCTCTTCTAAGGCATTTCATCTCTGATTGCAAGGCAAAAATATGAGAAGAAAGAAATGCTTGGCTAACACTATCCAATATGCTACAACCATCTTCTTCTTCTGTGTATACCATAAAAGGCAGTTAGGGCTGTTTACAGATAGACTGTTATTTCTGCATCCTAAAAAACAATAATGAGTAGTGGGTCTATTCTTTTTCTCTAAAAAGGAGACCCCAAAATCCACATTGGAATGCAAATCATCCATAGTATCATTGAAGCCATGGTGGTTCAGTAACTATAAGCTTGTCTGTTGGCCTGGTGGTCATGTATTTGAAACCCTTTTGTGCCAGGGTTTATTTCACTGTCTACCTAGTCTAAAACTCTTATAGTCCATGCTGTTGTCTTAGTAATCATGTCTTCCTTCGAAGTAAGATCGCATCTGACAGGCGAGAAACCAACAAATCTGCAGATTAAAAAAAGCCAGGTCTGTAATTTAGATGTACACGCAAAACTCATGTTCTGAAACAAGACCAAAGTCTAAAAGTGGATGAACAGCCAGATCATCCTTCTGGAGTTTAAAGCCAGTGAATGTAAACAACAAGAAGAAACATGTCTGCTCAGAGACAGTCAGTCTGAAATAAGTTAAAATATTTCTCACTTCCTTTGAAATTCTTCTGTTTTCCTATTCACCCTTGGGGATTGAGGGGGGGGGGGGGAGGGGGGGGGGGGGGGGGGAAGCATGCTGTGTTGTGGTTTACAGCTAGGCTTTAGGCCCAACAGATCAGTTTTCAGAAAATCCTTTGGTCACTTTTACGATAGGATTATTACAGAGCGGCGAGTCTATTGTTCCAAAAATGGGGCCCTGGCACCCAGAAGGAGATTTCCTGGGAAATAAAAGTGGCTAGTATGATACTGAACATCAAACATTCAGCCGCCCACACACACAAGTGGGACTAGAACTACATAATGTATCTCGTAGGGTGAAAAGTGGTCCTTCACTTTCTTTGCTCATACCCAAGATATCATATAAGTTTTGCATGCACACACAAAATAAAAAATAAACAAACAGAAGAACAAGAAAAATACACAAACAAAGAAAATTGGACAGTAACATATACTTTAAAAACAAAACCTAACACAAGAAAAAAAGGACCATGCACTTCTTTTCTAAAGTCCTGATCCATGAAGTTTTAAACACTTATTAACCATGAAACTTCAACAGATATGTTGTTTTTCTTAAGTGCAAAATATGAAACATCCAACTTACCCATGGAACCTGTAGATTTTGTGTCAAAATTTGAATATTTTATTAAGTGGATGAAATCAACATTATAAGTTGAAGTGTTAGAATAAAAACTACCATTTCATTAACAAAATTTAAAATTGGAACTCTAATTATTTACACATTTACTCTTATCCACTTGAAATTTTCCTCCACATACCATTAAGCATCGAAAAATAACAAATCTGTATTTCTTTTTCAGTAGGTGAATTTGGCTTCAGGGTTAAGAACATAATTTCATAATTATAAAATACAGGATGAGATTTCAACTGCAGATAATTTTGCAGCAAACCTCTTTGCACAGTTTCCCACAATAGTATGAAAGTCAAACCATTGATTGGTATAACTGTAAAACTGTTCAGAAAATAACAGAAGACTAATGAAGGTATGAACAGATGAATGAATGAACGAATGAATGAATGAATGGACACCAGTACAGTCTGGACATTTCCAGACATGCTCTGTCCCATTCTTCAGTAACCAACAAATAGTTGACATGTTATTAATACCAGTTGCAACCGGAATAAGAGTCTGCCTCTGTTTCCCCTCCAATGTCAGAAATCTTCCAGAACCTCGAAAACCTTCAGCTGAACTAGTCTTTCAGTGTATGGATCCCCTATCTGATCTTTTGCACTGTCTATTTTTGATCCCATAGAGCCTTCACCACATCCGATGTATGATATAGTAGTTCGCCACCCAGACAGCGGCAGCATATCAGCCTGCTCGTTACCTCGCATACATGAATATCTTGGGCAGAAAATCTCTTATCTGCTCTTGATCTGGGTCGTATTTAGTAATGCAAGCAACTTTGTGCGCAGGATACCAGTTTAAATTTTCCAAAGCATGCTCTGTAAGTCTGTTGCAATTACAAAATGTCAGGCTGTGCTGCTCTTAGGCGACTGGAATGCTTCTGTTACCGCCTCCATCTCCATTCTCATTCTGGATGTAGAGTTCTCTATTTTCAAGTAGTTTCCTTTCATTATCATCATCAGGTGCCTTGCCGACTGGCGTGGGTGATCATGCCTCTCCATAATCTGCGTTCTCCTGCAGCATGTATCAGTTCGTGTGCCGACACACCTCCATGCCATGCAACAAGACTGTCAAGCATCTTCTCTCGTCTTCCTCTGTCCCTCCTTCTACAGATCTTTCCAGTGGTCACAACATGTTCCATTTTCTCTCTTCTCATAACATGGCCGCAAAATGATGACTGTCTCCTTCTGATGTCTGTAATAAGTTGTCTTCAGGCTCCCGCCTCTTTCAAAACCTCTTGGTTGCTCTTTTTGGCTGTCCAAGGTATTCTAAGCATTCTTCTGTAAAACCACATCTCTGAGGCCCCTAGAAATTGTTAGGCCTGCCTACCGATTGTCCAGGATTCACAGTTTCCTTTCACCTTTATAATAAAACCTCACCCGTTCTTGTTACCTCTCACTATAGACCGATGTGTATATATTATGAGACACCTAGGATCGTATTGAGATGATGACAAGGTAGCAGAGATAATTATGAAATAATGACAAGGTAGCAGAGATTATAATGAGATGATGATAAGGTAGCAGAGATCATTTTGAGATGATGACAAGGTAGCAGAGATCATATTGAAATGATGACAAGGTAGCAGAGATCATACTGAGATGATTGCAAGGTAGCAGAGATCATTTTGAGATGATGACAAGGTAGCAGAGATCATATTGAGATGATGACAAGGTAGCAGAGATCATAATGAAATAATGACATGGTAGCAGAGATATGAGATGATGACAAGGTAGCAGAGATATGAGATGATGACAAGGTAGCAGAGATATGAGATGATGACAAGGTAGCAGAGATGATAATGAGATGATGACATGGTAGCAGAAATCATATTGAGATGATGACAAGGTTGCAGAGATCATATTGAGATGATGACAAGGTAGCAGAGATCATACTGAGATTATGACAAGGTAGCAGAGACTATGATGAGGATGAGATGACGAGATAATGACAAGATAATGGAGCAGCAAGATAAGATTACGACAAGGTATAGAAGGAGCAAGATAAGATTAAGACAAGGTAAAAAAGGAACAAGATAAGATTATTACAATGTATAGAAGGAGCAAGATAAGATTATAATAAACTAAAGGAATAGAACAATAATATTATTACAAGGTATAAGAGGATCATTATGAGATGATTACAAGGTACAAGAGGATCAAGATGAGATGATGACAAAGCACCAGAGGATCAAGATGAGATTATGACAAGGTACAAGAGGATCATAATGAGATGATGACAAGGTACAAGAGGTTCAAGATGAGATGATGACAAGGTACAAGAGGGTCATGATGAGATGATGACAAGGTACAAGAGGATCAAGATGAGATGATGACAAGGTACAAGAGGATCATTATGAGATGATGACAAGGTACAAGAGGATCAAGATGAGATGATGACAAGGTACAAGAGGATCAAGATGAGATGATGACAAGGTACAAGAGGATCAAGATGAGATGATGACAAGGTGCAGGAGGATCATGATGAGATGATGACAAGGTACAAGAGGATCATGATGAGATGATGACAAGGTACAAGAGGATCATGATGAGATGATGACAAGGTGCAGGAGGATCATGATGAGATGATGACAAGGTGCAGGAGGATCATGATGAGATGATGACAAGGTACAAGAGGATCATGATGAGATGATGACAAGATACAAGAGGATCATGATGAGATGATTACAAGAGAATCATGATGAGAAGATGACAAGGTATAAGAGGATCATGATGAGAAGATGACAATCTACAAGAGGATCAAGATAAGAAGATGGCAAGCTACAAGAGGTTCAAGCTAAGACAGTGAGATGATGACTGACATACCCATTTCTCAGCATTGATGTCAGCATCATTCCATTCAGGCCAGATGGTAAACTTGGGTCGTCTGATATCAACTACACTGCCAATCCCAGCTGCGCTGCTGAGATAAATGTATCCATAGAATAAAACAATAGAAGATAAATAACAAATGCAAACAGTTTAAATTTTTTTTTCTGTGCTTGTTTCTAAAGTATCAAATGTCACTTTTACAGCTACATACTGAATATATACATACATAATACAGTCGAACGTCAGGAAGCTAAGTGTACCTGGATATGAGATTTTCAGGATTTGAGGTCAGGTTCACACCCCCCCCCCCCTTTCCCCCAAGATTACAAATGTTAGCTGGGGAGAGAATTTTTCTCGACCTTACCCAACAGCATCTGGATACCTTTTATATGGATTAGGTCATGTCAACACTGCTGAAGGTGGACCAGTTGACATGGGCTATAACATCATAATTGGAAGTAACCCCCCATTTTCCTCTGCCAGAAAAAAAAAAAGAAACAACAGCAAAAACTATAAATCATTGTCACACATTTGTCTCCCTTGCCAAGACCTAAAAACTTAGGTTCTTTATTAATATCTTACCCCAGATGACGTCGCAGGACAGTCCAATATTTTAGAGGGTGGTAAGACTGGGTTTCTCGGTTTTCTGATGCTTTTAACGACCCAAAACATCTAGAACTGGCCCTAACCCTAACACACTCACATTCCACAAGAAAGTGCAGTCTAGGTCCCATGACTGGATACAGCCTAGGTCCCACGACTGCGTGCAGCCTAGGTCCCACGACTGCGTGCAGCCTAGGTCCCACTACTGCGTGCAGCCTAGGTCCCACGACTGTGTGCAGCCTATCTACCACCCCATGAAATATTAGACTGTTCCGTGACCTGTGGATTTCCCATTTGGGGTAGGATTTTATAAAGCACCAAAACTTCATCAAAATCTGATAGGGTGATTTTTTTTTTTTTTTTTGAGGGCTGTAACAAATTAAAATTCTTTACATTAATGTTAATTGTCATATCAGTTTCAAGATGGAGTTATTCACCATACAAGCTCAGTCAAGGAATGGATAAAATTTGTATCTAAGTTTCCATTGTACTACTACACTCACACATAATTATTTGAATGTTAATTGGTAATATATATTTTAAATAATTTATGTTGTTCAATAACTGCCCTCAACTGCAGTTAGAAAAGAGAGTTTTCAAGTGTTGTGTAGAGCTGGTACTGTTTCCTGCATTTGACATATAAATATGTAGACAAAGTGAGCAATGTCTATTATTTCTGAGAAAAATTTAAAGAGTGCCATGAATGGATAGAAAAGCAAACAAGTCAGCTTTTAAAAGCACAAGTGAAAACTATAACCAGATTAGAAAAATTAGATGCTGAAAATCACACAGATTTTATCATGTTATGTTGAAAAATAAAATGCACAAGAAAACTTAGTGATAACCAGCAAACTTGTTTTAAAAAGGCAAGGGGAAGACAAAGAGTCAAATATTTTAATGACTTGGACACATGCATGGGGGGTGGCGGGGGGGGGGGGGGGGGGGATACAATGGGGAATTAAAAGAAACAAAAACACAAACCTGATCCAAGATTGTTAATGATTATTTAACTTGTCTCATTATCAAACAGCAAAACATCACTCTTGTCTGGCTTGACTGAAAGTCTCTCTGTCTATAGCTGATTCTCCACCCCTATGTGCTTTCACAGCCAATGTATCTTCACTATCTTGTATCCACATCCGTGGTCTGCCTCTGCCTCGTTTTCCAGAAACTACCCTCCAGGCCATGATGACCTTCAACAAGGCCAAAAAACCTCAGCTTTTGAAACAGGAAACTGCTTACGAGCAAATTTTCTTCAATGCTCAGATCATGTAGGATGACTGTTGTTTTCTTCTTCTTGGTAAAATGTCTACAGTACATGTCCAGCTTGGTACTGGCCAGCCTGTTAATTTCTTCCAGGAATAATGCCTTCCATTATCCCTGTTTCAAAACCAGTATGGCATTTAAAACCGCTAGGTTTCAAGAGACAATGCTGTATATGAACTGATTTATTTCAGTATTAAGAACCTATGTTTTGTGATTGTGGGTTCCTGACTCCCTTTCTAATGATCTCTATGTTTGTTACTTATGTGTGCTGAATTTGGGTCATTGACCTTAAAAGTCATTTGAGTAAATAAATAAATGAACGGTAGGGGTATAGGTTAGGTGAAAATAACTAAGTAATAGTACTGTGAATTGTGAGTGGAATATTTAGACAGACGTGAGTTAAAATAAAATAAGATATGGGGTAAACTATTTTTTAAATTGCCCTAGCAGATGCCATGGCTGACTCCGATGTGGTCAACATAAATGATCGGAGGCCGACTAGAATGTCAATGAGACCTGATGCATTGATGCAGACACAGCTACTGACATCGCATTTGTCTCTCAGTCATCAGTTTTTGATGCAAAATGGACTGTCTTGAAGACAATGAAAATGATCACCTGCCATATTCAATTCTGATTTCTAAATACAGTAAGGTTAAGGCTGGGAGAGCATGCAAGGCTATTGCCAGGGGCTGCAATATAGCCTGGGTATAAATATGGCCTAAAGGCTGAACACGGTTTCTGGGACCTCTCCACGGTGATCCTCACCCACATGGTAGCACATTGTGTCATCAGATGTTTATCGCTTGTGTGATGTCCTAGTGGGGTAGAAAGTCAATCAAGACCTTCCTGTATGAGCATACCAAACCCTCCTTGGATGCCTCAGACAGAGGGCATGAAACAAGACTGTCAAAAATACTTTTTTTTACATCCCCCATGGTGGACTCTAGACGTGGAACTAGCACAGAAGACAAACACGAGTTGCAGGGAAGCAGCTAAGGAAAGTGTGACAGACACCGCTAAGCTCATGAGAAGAAGTGGAGACGGCAGAAAATGTTAAAAACGCTCGGGTCGCAGTTTTCAAGTGCTGTGCTGCAAAGGAAGAAAAAAAAAAAGATGACAAAAATTTCATGAATAAGGTTGGTGATGAAAAACAAAGAGAAAGAAGAAGTGTTTCTCCAGAGATTTATTGTGCCGACAGATTATAACAATCCAGTCATCAGGGATGCAGATAGAGAGAATTTATCTAGCACCATAAAGAATATGCAATATGAAGACATCATATGAGCTGAAGATATTAAACATAGTTTGAAATGGCAAAAGACACTACACCAGAATCTGATAGTGTTAGCTCTGGCCACACGAAGGTACTGAGCGATGTAGACCTGAAACAGATGACTGACTGCTTTAACCAGAGCATTAGGAAAGCATCCATTCTGCAGGATTAGGGTGCACAACTATCTAATCCAACTTCCAAAACTATGCAAGGGTCATTCAAAGCTTAGTGGCGTTAGAATTATCACAAAATATTACAAAATATGGTGGGGTAAGTCTTAGAGAATATAGTCATTGTCAAGCTATAAAATTTGTGGAAAGAGGGAAGCATATTCCAAGAGGTCTAGCAAGGAAAAGATACCTGGTCAAATGCAGCCACTTTTGCCTCTGATGTTTATGAAGGGTTAAAAACAAAAAGAAACAATGGCAGCAGAGGTTGATCTCTAGGATGTGTATAATAGAGTTAGATATGATATTTTTTTATGTCTGCACTGATGAAAAAGAGGACAGTTCCTGGTTGGTCAAATAAATAGCAGCTAAAATTTATTCTTTTAGGCTGCTCTCCATCTGGGATCATGGACCTCGAGGCCATGTATTATAGCGCAGTGACTGCCACAAGGATCCGTCATCTCGCCTGTGTGTATATAAGCAAGACTGCAAGCCTAGAAGCCCCAGGGGTTGGAAGAATACTGACATTTGCAAATGATATTCTCTCTTATAGGCAGGTGAGGGATAGGGGAAAAAATGGCCTAGAAGCTACAGGTGACAGTAGACAAAGTGACTGACTGATGTACAGAAATGAGCGCTGTCGTTCACCCAGAAAATGTATCTTCTTCTTCTTCGTTCACCAGCTGTGAATTCCGGTGCAAGGTTTGATAGTTTGTCCATTTGGACTTTTGGCTTTTACCTGGACCTGAGTTTTGCATGTATATCCGTTTTACTGGCTTATTTGTTTGCCCTTACCTGCCTCTGTATGTATGAAAATGTGTCTGTTTTGTGGTGTTCTCTAGACAACAGATTTCTTACAAATGATGTCCCAGGTGTCACAATTGACGGCAGAAACATCAACAGAGAGACTAAACTGAAGTATCTGGAAAATACATTGACAGGAGCCTATCCTTTAAGGACCATTTAGAGAAGGTTGTGACAAGATTCCAAAAGGGACTCAATGCACTTAAGACTATGGCTGCAATGGACAGAGAGCAGAGAATGCTTTTCACAATATATAAGCAGTTGATCCTTTCGATGACTGATTATGGACTAAAACTGCTGTCTCAAAGAGTCAGCTGGCTAAAGTGCATGTAGAACACAGGTATGTGGTTCATTTTGATGCGCCAGAGACACCCTAGTAGTGTGCATGTGATATATCCTTGGTTTCCTGACTATTGCAGGTAGGCTCAAAATGCTGCACGCAAAGTCATACTCAGAGTAGCTGCATATACAGATCACCCTTTGCACAAAGCTCTGGATGCAGTTGAGGGACTGTGGCTGATGAGAGGGAATTCATGGATGGCTTAGGGTGAGGTCACAATAAGACAGGTTTGCATCCTGAAGAACATTAGGCAAGAAGAGCAGTGAAATAGAGTGCTAGCAGATCAGTCAGACTTGTGTAGAGTCCTAACAGCACTGACCAGGAAATGCAAGGAATGGCTAGCAGCTGCCACAGAGGTAGACATTCAGCAGGATACAGCTTGCTCAAGTGATATGATTATTTATTTATATTCAGACTTCTTCTTCTTCAGCATTCTGAGCCCTTGAGGCTCATTGCTGCAGATAACACCCGCCTGCATTCATCTCTCTGGTTAGCCTTCTTTTTCCAGTTGGTGACACCAAGTGTTTGCAGGTCTGCCTTGACATTATCTCTCCATCATCTTCTTGGTCTGCCTCGTGATCTATGACCATTCATATCCCTTGTGTATACAGTTTTTACTTCTCTGTAATTCTTTT